ATATATACATCAATCATCAGCGATCTCAAAGAAGCTGGAACGTACCAAATCCTGCATTTCCACAGTAACGAAGCCAACACACTGGTGTCCTGACAAGTTTATACACGAAAAAATTGGTGCACTTCTTTATCTGGACGTTGGCATGCCAATGGCAGCAGCTTCCACTCCAATGGAAGCACACTTTGCCGTTGACAACTTGTCCTACGTTTGTTGGATGGGATCCGCTTAGCCACCCCGGTGCATGCGTTCCACAGTAATGCTTTGGAACACAGGAGGTAGGCATCATAGTTCCAGCTGCTCCAGTAAATCTGTACCATTTGGGTGTTGCAAGGTCTTTCTGGTCACATTTTAGGCTGTTACCTCTGTGGACACTTGCGGCACGTTGTCGATCATTCAGTTGCTCATAATGTAAGCAAGGGTCAAACACTAGACAAAAACAATTGGCGGTAATGAAATTAAGAGTACTTATAAATCCTTTATCACCTCTGCAATTATGAAGCAAAAGGTAAAGTAGCCCAAGCGGCCTGAAAACAAGGTTTGGATATTGTAGTACAATTCTTACGGGCAGACCACTTTTGAGGCTACCATTATATGTTTTACTTCACACGCTAATATCAGAAGTATTAGATTCGGTTTTCGCATAAACAGAAATCAATATCAAATCCTCTTTTTGTGTTATCCTCCCACACTAGGGCAGGTAACGCAGAATCAAACCCTTATAATTTTCGCTGCCCTGGTCAACCTCATCTAGTAATTGTAGTTAAGATTTTAAAATATTAACCAGTTTCACAATGTTTCCCCAGAAATCCTGGTCTACACTTGCATCTGTAGCTTCCTTGCAGGTTTTCACATGTTCCACCGTTAACACAAGGCTTTGTTATACACTCGTTGATATCTGAAAAGAGATTCCAAGTCTCGCTTTTAACTAAGCTTTCTTACAGTGCTATAATATTTGTATTTACTTATCGTTTTAGATCGGGGAGGGCGAGGCATGGAAGCTGCCGGGAATTGTTCACGTTGATTTGAGACGACTACTCAAACTATAACGTTCAAACTGTATGACTTTTATCAATACTAATCTGAGAACATTCTGGTCTCATTTTATTTATCATTTCACGACAACCATGTTTTCAAAGCCTGACAAACGTATTGACCTTGAATTGAGCATCTTATTTCAAGTCTTACTGAGGGTCATTTCATTTATGGTTCAGAGGGCACCGTTCTGAGCATGTCCGTATTATAAGACCTTGACACTTAGCTTTTAACCCACATTTGTAGAATTTAGCGAAAAGTCTCTCACCTTGTTCGCAGTTCACCCCTTGAAAACCAGGTTTACACAGGCAAGTATAACCATCATTCTTTGCGATACAGGAAGCACCATTTTGACACGGCTTATTCGCTTTGCATGCATCTTGGGACAAGACAAATAATGATATTCTGTGCTTATATCTTTTTTACTCATAAAACTTCGAATCATGGTTAAAGTCGTATTCGAAAAACGTCCAAAAAAGATACGGTAAGCATATAACACTGATAGTAATTAGTAGTACAAATCTGATCTGCCAAGTCTAATTCGTTTAGGACAGGAAAGACATCAACAAAGATTAAACGTCGTAGATTTAATGGTTTATAGAGTTTTAAACAGGTTACAAATGAAATTTCCACTGTTGGAAAAGAACACTGTAGCAAAATACATGACAAACATGATAGCAATAGTAAATGAATCTATAGCAACAAAAAAAATCTATAATCTACAAATCTATAACAAATAAAACTATGATACTTCATTAAAATTTACCAAATCCTGCATTTCCACAGTAACGAAGCCAGCATACTGGAGTCTTGGCTAATTTGTACACATAGAAGCCGTTGCACCTCTTTATCTGGAT